ACCACGGAAGGGGAGGTGAGGGGAGGGAAGCTGCGGTTGGAGGGCGTGCACAGCAAGTGTGCAGAGGATGAGAAGCTGCCCTCATCACACCAGGAAGAGAAACTGAGCAGAAGAAAGAATGCGCAGGGCTGTGTGGGGCCCTCCAGTCCTGGGGCCTGAGGAGGGGAGTGCCCAGATAGTGTCTGGACAAACCACTCTCCAAGCCTCAGTTTCCCCATGTAAAAAATGAGTCTCTCTCTGGTCTTGCCAGAATGCTGCTGATCCATGCAGTCTACAACCAGTGGGCGCTACAGGCTACATCATGGCCTAGAAGAGAGCACCCCTGATGGTGGGGAGCAGGGGCTAAGCCATCCAAAGCCAGTACCTCCCAGCTCACTTCTCCCCTCAGCCACGCAGGGAGCACACTAGCTCTTCCTTCTCTGGCTCTTTATTTTTAGGTCTGAATTTGACTTTAATCATTACTTAGCGGATTCTATTTCCAGCCCTTGGATGAAGGGACCCAGAGAGGGAGGCAGTGCTGGGCGTGGCGGGGGGGCCAGCCTGCTCCTCCACCCATCCTGTCCCCAACCAAGGGCGGGGGAACTGAGAAACACCCAAAGGGTTTGCCCCAGCCAGGCCAGCATCTTGGGGAGGACTCCACCCTGTGACCTCATCTCGGCCAAAGTTGTGGGACAGGCAGTTGTAGTGCCCAAGTCCCTTGTCCCGAGACCAGGGGGGAGGGAGACATGCAGAGGCAAAAGTCTGGCAGCCAGAGTTTCAGGTCACAAGCCTGGGGGACCTCTGCAATGAAGGGGCCACCTCTGGGTCATCTGGGGCTACAGACTCTTGGGTCCAGAGAGCACCAAGCAGACTGGTTTCTTCCTACTGCCCACAGGGAGGCCCTGGGAGGGCACTCCCAGTTACTCTAGTCTGCATGGAAGCAAGGAGAGTCACAGTGGTGCACCTTCAGGGTTGGACCTGGGGACACCTGCCAAGGAAGAAGCTGCTTCCACACAGGGGTTCCTCAGGGACCCCAGCTCTCGGACGGGGGAGAACCATCGGAGTTCTCTCCCAACTCTCAGACGGGAGGCTCTAGAATCCCCTAGCCCAGACCCTGGCTTTCTTTCCACTCCTGGCCACTGACAAGTTGAGGCTGGCTGGCTGGCTGTCCCTGGCTCAGGATGCCCTGCCCAAGTCTCCTTCTAAGGAGGCCTCTGTTTCCACTGGGACACACGGGCTGCGCGAGCTTTGCAGAAGCTGGGAGGTAAGCGGCAGCTAATCTCTCAGAAGATGCATCTTGGGCCCAGTGTAGTGGTACACACCTATAATCCCAGCACTTGGAGAATCTTGAATTTGAAGTCAGCCTGGGCTATACAGGAGACCCTGTTTCAAAAGAACAAAAAGAGGACTCTTCTGAAAAGAAGGCCTCTTCCAATCAGCTCTGAGGCTGGGAGATGGGAAAGGGAACGGGTGAGGTCAGGCCTGGGGCACCAACCAGCAGCCCATGCCCTGAGCCAATCAATCAAGTGAAAGGAGGCAGAGCAGACCACTGCCCATAGTATCCCAGACCCTCAGGGTCAGAGGATTTCAGACCACTCCTGCTTCTAACCAGGCACAGGGCTCAGGTATCTCCTGCACAAGCTGAGGCATTCCTTCACCACCAACAACCTCTAGCAGAGACAGTCAGTGCTCTGAAGCAAGCATCGCCATCCCTGTGATTTGTACAAAGGAACTTGGGCTCAGAAGGCAGTGACTTGTCCTACGTCCCTTCACCCTGGCTTCAGCAGCATGGCTAGGCCTAGAATCCATGTGGGTTGACTGCCAACTGCCTGCTCTCTCCTAGCTGCTTTTGGGGCTCGTAGTAACAACCCCCACAGCTGCAACGACGGGAAGAACGTGCTCAGTAAGAGGGTACGGTGACGCTGCTGTGGCAGAGTTCCTGGGAATCGCTGAAGTTTTTTAGTGAGAACTACTCTGACCATGCAGCACTGTGAGAAAATGCCCACAGCCACAGTACTGAATGAGAAAGGTATCATGGCATACTCTGATGACAACAGGGACAAAGGAAGAGAAACAAGAAAGACTGGTGGGGACTCCAAAACGCTAAAGCAGTCACTGCCTGGGAGAAAGAGATGATTTTTCTTTTGTTTTCTAAATCTTGTTTTTTTTTCTTTGGTACCAGAATTTGAACTCAGAACTTTGTGCTTTGCTAGGCAGATGCTCTACCACTTGAACTACATCACCAGCCCCTTGTTTTATTTTTCAGACAGGGTCTCAAAAATCCTCCTCAAGATCCTCCTGCCTCAGCCTCCCAGAGTGCTAGACTCCAGGTGTGTGCCATCAAGCCTAAGAAAATTAGAGTATGTAACTGTTCTTTTTTCTCTCATTTTTGGTGCTGGGAATCAAACTCAGGGCCTCACACATGTTAGGCAAGCGCTCTGCCCCTGAGCTATGTGTGTGTGTGTATATATATATACATCCTTATATCCTTACCCCAGTTTCATTTGTTTGTTTTGGTGGCACTGGAAGTTGAACTCAGGGCCTCACGCTTGCTAGGCAGGCATTGCACCAGGCACTCCATTAGTCCAGTTTTCTTTTAATTGAATTCAGATCCCAGGTCTGGAACAGGTGTCTAAGACATTTCTGCCAGGGAACAGCCCTTTTGTACCAGGACAGCCCCTCCGACAGGTAAAGATCTCTACATTCCCCCTCGCCACCCCCAACTCAGCACCTCTGCTCTTTGAGGATTGTATGTCAAGGCTTTAAAAAATCCCTCAAAAGCTGGGCGCTGGTGGCTCACGCCTATAATCCTAGCTACTCAGGAGGCAGAGATCAGGAGGATCAAGGTTTGAAGCCAGCCTGGGCTATATAGCTCCTGAGATCCTATCTCAAAAAAAGCCATCACAAAAAAGGGGCTGGTGGAGTGGCTTGAGGTGTAGACCTTGAGTTCAAGCCCCAGTTACCGCCCCCCCACCCCAAAACCAAATCCCTCAAAAGATGGGAGCCCAGAACTGGACCCAGATAGTCCTGTCCTATCAAACCACAAGGGAACTTCTTGGGTCAGATGAGTCACACTGTGGATCCCTGGCCTTTGCTCTCGCCTGTACTGGTCAGGGGAGGCTGAAGCCTGCCCTCTCTCCAAAACTTCTTGTGGGCCACTTCCAGTGGCTAAGTCTCTCTGGCTGGTGCCCTTGCAGTGGGGTAGGCAACTGTCTTCTGGTCTTTTCTCGCCTTTGACCCAATGCAGAAAGAAGAGTAGTCACTTCTGAGAGGGAGGAAGGCACCAAGTTCACCACATAAAATACACATCCCCATATGCGTGCTAGCCTGAGCCAGCTCCTTTTTGCAAAGGCCTCGGGACCCTGAGCCGCACCCTCGAAGCACCCAACCATGTCAGGCCCAGGCCCAGCCCCTCAGGCAGGAAGGGAAATTCAGCCTGGGTGTGGGGTTGTGTGAACAGTCTCAAAGGCCCAGAACATTTGGGCCTTCTCCTCTGTGCATGTCAGGGCAACAGGAGCAAACCCTAAGTCAAGGGCAGGGGTCTGGGCAAGCAAAACTGCCAGTGGCTCCAAGGGTGCCCAAACATGGCTTAGCAACCTCAGGATGCCCGAGGATCCTGCTGTACTGCTAATCTCACTCCCCCGGCCTGTGCCCTGCTCCTGCTGTGGCCATACCAATGAAGAGACCAGAATACTCAGAGCTCAGGGAGCTTGAAATGAGCCCCATGGGTGTCCCCACCCTGCCAATGCTCTCATGCCAAGGCTGCAGGGTGCTGCCAGTGGAGACAGCGAACTCAGCGGGCTCCTGAGCCAGCGGGGCCAAATGTGGGGAGGGTGGATGGGGTCAGGACTGACCATCAGGCTGCTTCAACTCAGTGCCAAGAACAAGCATGACCCCAAGCCACACCACAGGTGCCCCCACGCAATCACATGTCTCCTGCCATAACTGGTGCCAGTAAGACCCAGCCTTCAGACACTAAGGGGAAATTTCACAGACAGTGTTGATGCTGCCTGAACCCAGAATTAGGCAGAGCTGAGGCCGGAAGCCCTCTCCCTCCTCTCCACCTCTCTGCAGGGGAGCACGTGCTCACCCCACAAGGTCCCTCTTGGCCCAGGCTAGGGCCTGCATCGCTGGACAGGTGGCTGGTGTCTGCCTGGTTTTCCTCTACCCACAGTAGTCCAGTTCTGCAGCTAGCCACTAGAGGCCTGGAGTAGCGGCCTCCCTCTTTGGGCCTCAGTTTACAGATCTACAAAATGGGCAGGGAAGTAACTCCAAGTTAATTTCCAAAGATACACTGGCTGGACACACCCCTTCCTAACACCTGGCCTAGGCCCTGAGAGGCCTGGGAAAATGGGCTGAGCAAGGCCAGCAGGTGGGAGTATAGTGCTAATGCCCCAGGGTCAAGTCCACCCAGGACGGAAGTCCTGCCCAGTTCCCCCACCCAAGGGTCAGAGTTCCTTGGCTTAGGCCTGCTCTTCTGAGAGGCCTAGGGTGACAGGCTCAGTCCCAGGACCTGGGCTTCTAGTAAAGCTGAAGGGAGGTGGCTGGGCCCTGGAGGGCCTGGAGCCTGTAGGGCCTCAGTGCAGGACTGAGGGAGGGATCAGAACCACGCAAACCAGGGGACTTGCGTGGAGGCCCTGGGCAGGGAAGGGCAAACTCCCAAGAGCCCAAGTACAGTCTCCAGCGCCCTGGCCCTAAGTGACGCTCTCCCTTCCAGGCTCCAGCTCTTACTCTGAGTTCCACATCGGAGGGACTCAGGAGACCCGAGACAGTTCTGGGGGGGGGGGCAGTACCTCCCTCGTAACTCTCTCCCAGTAAGGTTCTGACAGTGACTCCCGGGAGAATTCGAACCTATGAAGGAGGAGGTGGGGGATGGGAGTGGACGCGACAGAGGCTGCACAGAGGCGGGACGTGCGACCTCCACCCTCCTCTCACGGCGGCGGCGGGGGGGGGCGATGGGGGGCGGGAGAAGGGAGAGTCACTCAAGACACCCATCTTCTCGGGGGCTGCCCAGCACTCACCTCTCTCGGGGCACTGCGGTCCGGGCCACCTCGTCGCGGGCGGCATCAGCGGCCTGCAGGACGGTCCATGCGGCCAAGGGGGAGGGGAGGGGCACAGGGGTCCCCAGAGGGTGCGGTACAAAGAAGTATGGATGCGAAAAGAAGGGGGAGGAAGGACAGCCAGGCAGAGGCAGGGGGACGGCCGCGCGGCCTGGGTCGGGAGGGAAGAAAGGCGGGGGAAGGGGGCGGGAGTCGGGGGGAGGAAACAATGTAGCCGGCGCGGCCCCGGCAGAGTTCCGCTTCCGAACGCCGCCACCAAGGCTCGCTTTTGGAACGTCGCGCCGGCTGCCGGGGGCCGCCCCGGACGCTCGGTCGCACGCCTCGGGGCTCCCCGCGCTCTCCGCCCCGGGGGCTCGGACGGCCAGAGGTTGTGGCCGGGGCGGGAGGGACAGCTAAGCCAGGGGACCGGCCCCGACGGCGGTGCGGCCGGCGGTCGTCCCGCTCGGACCCCGCCCCGGCGGAGATCCCCGAGGCAGGGCGCGGGGTGGCGCGGGAGCGGGAGGGCGGCGGCGGGCTCGACGGCGGCGGCCAACCCACCCCTCGGCTCGCCCGGGCTCCGCTGGGAGGAAGCTCGCAGGCCTGGCGAGAGGAAGCGCGGCCCGGATCCTCCGCCCGCCGCAGCGCGCCTGCGCGAGGGGGGCCTGCCCGGCTCGCGGCGGGGCGTGGGCCGGCGAGGCGGCGCCCTCTGCTGGCCGCCCGCGGAACTGCGGGGGGTGTGTCCGCGCCCTGCCCCCACTCGCCGGCCTGCGCCAAGGCGCCCTGTGCCTTCCCAGAGGGCCATCAGCCCGCCTTGGACCAGTCGCGACCTCCCCGCCTTCTCTGGACGAAGCTGCCCCGCTATAATGGGCAGAGCCTCACTTGCGGCAGTAAGCGTTCATCCACTCACTCACTCATTCATTCACAAACGTTTTCTCTGGCGCACACTATTAAAAAAAAACCCTTTCAGCCTGGCATTGGGGTCTCACGTCTGTCATCCTAGCTACTCAGGAGGCAGAGATCAGGAGGATCGGGGTTCAAAGCCAGCTCCAGGCAAATAGTTCCAGACACCCTATCTCCAAAATTCCCATCACAGAAAAGGACTGATGGAGTGGCTAAGCGTGAGATGATCCTGAGTTCAAACCCCAGTGCCGCCCAATACAAAACAAAACGCACCCTCATTACTGTTGAGATCCCCGTCGGTGGGAGCAGATGGACCATTGCAAAGAACTCATTGATGGAGAGGTGTTGTGCAAGGTCCACAGGAAGCAGGAAAAAAGGGAAGGTTCAGGACAGTGGAGACTTCATAGAGCTGGGACCCAGGCAGATAGGCACAAAAAGGGAAGGAGTGGTGAGAGAGCTTGGTGGCTTCTGGGGACTATAAATAGCTCAGTAGGTTGCAGCCTGCAAGTGGGTGGGGGATCGCATGGGACTATCTTGGACTTTATTTTCAGCCCGGAGGCAATAAGGAAGTTATCAGTAGCTGTGTGACCTTGGGCAAGTTATCTGACCTCTCTGTGCTGTACTAGCTCCATTTGATACAATAGGGCCAAATAATGACACCAGCTTAATAAGGTTTTGTGGGGAGGAAGTGAGTTAATAGGTTTAGAGTGTTTAGTGTGCTGTGGCAGGCACCTGGTGAGTCCCCAATTAAACATGGGCTGTTATTATATATCATTGTTAATGAGAAGTCAGGAACCTCCCTAGTAATCTGCTCTTAGCTATAGGAGAGGAAATTTGCTCAGGCAGGAGGGGAGCACAGAATGGGGGAGTCCAGCGGAGCTATGAGATGTCAGGGGACTTTCTAGTGACTGGGCCATAAAGGAAGGGGGGGCTTAGGTGGACAGAAAGGAAGGGGCAGCCTCAGGTGTGGGAAGTGAGGATGCTGGCAGTCTTAAATGGCAGAGTCCAGACTCACTCTGCATTCCAAATTTCTTTTTCTTTTCTTTTCCATACTGTACAAAAATTAGACCAGGAAAAAAAAATTAGACCAGGCGCGGGCAGCTCACACCTGTAATCCTAGCTACTCAGGAGGCAGAGATCATGAGGATCTCCGTTCAAAGCCAGCCCAGCCCAGGCAAATAATTTGCGAGACCCTATCTTGAAAAAAAAAATTATAAAAAGGACTGCTGGAGTGGCTCAGGTGTAGGTCCTGAGTTCAAATCCCAGTATCGCAGAGTGAGTCTGGAGGGGCTGACAGCGAAAGGGACAGTAAAGCGCCCTGTAGGACACAGAGCTAAAGATTGCAAAGAGCCTCGAATGCCCAGAGATGGGCATGGCCCCTGCCCCCCAGACAGACTACAGGTTGGACCTCTGACCCAGCATGCACCAGGACCAGCTTCTGAGTGAAGAGCCAGCCCCCAGGGAGAGATGCCCTTTGAGAAGGTATCTGAGAGATCTCAGGGACAGGAATGGTATAATGAACAAAAACATCAATTTTAGAAAAGAAAAAAAGAGAGAGAAAAAAATCCCACCAAATTTAACCTCAGATCTCAGGATTAAATCTTGACTGGGTGGCTAACTAGCTGTGTGGCTTTGGGTTGATTACCTAAGGTCTCTGAGCTCACTTTCCTCTTCTGTAAGATCAGAGTCACAGCACACCGCTGTCATGAGAGATGTGCAGATTAGCAAGATAAGGGGACTGGGGTGAAGGGGGTAGAGGCAGAATCAGTCTCCCTGTCTTTCCTTTGAGGTTAAGATGGAATGATATAGCCCCACATGGGCACCCTGTCTCTCAGAGTTCTGCAAAACCTGTGGAAGGGAGAAGTTGACACCCCCTTCCGTCCCTGGCTTAATTAACTAGCAGAGTGGGTGTTGGGGAGTACTGTGCAGACTTGGGGAGCACTCTAAACCCTGTTCAGGGAGGTTTAGCTCAAGTGGTAGGGCACTTGCTTTGCAAGCTTGAAGCCCTGAGTTCAAACCCCACTCCCACCAAAAAAAAGTTAAACCCTGTTCAGGTTTTGTCACCCACCTTTCTCCCTTTGCCCCCAAATACATTTGACTTTTCCCCTTGGCTGTGCTATGAACTTTGAAGTCAAATAAACCTGCATTTGAATCCAGGCTCCACCTCTTCTCGAGGGTGAAAAAAATGGACATTTTCTGAACCCCAGACACTGGGGATAAAAATGCTGAACCAGACGGTGCAAGAGCCAATTAACTTCCAACTTCACAGCTCATTCACTCTCTCATTTATTCACTCAACAATCAGTGAGCTCCTGCTAGTAGTGAGATGGATGCTGGAGATGAAGGAGTAAGAGAACACCACTGTTCTTGCAGGAAGATAAATAAATAAATAGGGCCATCAGACACCATGGTATGAAGGTGCTGAGCACCTGAAAGGATGGGTGACAACAGGAGGACATGCATCTCAGCTTCCAGACCCTGGGAAGGGACTGAGCCAGCCTTAGGAGAGTGGAGGGAGGGGACTGGATGGGCCTGAGGTACAGAAGGACTCAGTAATGGAGAAGCAGCCAGAAGGCCAAGGTGATGAGACCAGACAGCAGGGCAGAGCAGAATGAGAGGAAGACACCAGAACCTGCAGGCACAGTGGACCAGAGATTAATTTTGACTTTGGATTATGTTACATGAGCAATTGGATACCACTGAAAGGTTTTTTGTTTGTTAATTTGTTTTTCGTGGTACTGGAATTTGAACTCAGGGCCCTGCACTTGCTAGGCAAGCTCTCTACCACTTGAGGCATGCCCACATTCCTTTTTTTGTTTTCGTTTTGTATTTCAGAGAGGGTCTTGGCTTTTTCCCTGGACTGACCTCAGACTCACCTCCAGAGTAGCTCTGGCTACTGAAAAGTTTTAAACTGGAATGCCATGACAAAGAGGGAAAGACAAAACCCCAGTGATACCAGGGACAGTGGCTCGTACCTTCAATCCCAGTTACTTAGGAGGTGGCAATCGGGAGGATCACAGTTCCAGTCCAGGTAAAAACTTCTTGAGACACCCCCCCATCTCAATCAGTAAGCCAAGCATGCATTTGTTATCCCAGCTATGTGAGAGACTGTAGGTAGGATGATGATGATTCAAACTGGCCCAAGCAAAAATTCAAGACCCTATCTGGAAAATAACAGGGAAAAAGGATCAAGGGCGTAGCTCAAGTGGTACCTTCTAGCAAGTCCAATGCCCTAAGTTCAAATCCTAGTACCGGGGTAGGGGAAAATCCAGTGAGGAGGCTGTTGTTTGGTCCAGACCAGTGATGATGGGTGTGGGTCCTGGTGGAAGAGCAGATGGAGAAGTGAGTGGACACAGGAGAGTCACGTGACAGTTCTCCATGACGTCCTGTGGGGAGGAGTGAGGTCTCACGAGGCGGGGTGGAGAACGAAGGGAGACACACACACAGGACAGATTGTGGTTGACAGTTGAGTTTGATTTTGGACCAACTGAATTCATGTAAAACATGGAGCTGTCAAGTCACCATTTGGGACCAAACGTTAGCGTTTCTGGGCTGGTTAACTTGTCCTTTAGTGGTGGGACCAGCCCTGGGGCAGGAGAGGGAGGAAGAAGGCTGGGGAAGGGCTGGAGGTGGGGAATAGGGATGCTGCATTTGGGTGAGAGGAGCCGAATGGGCTAGGGGCCTGCAGAGTGGTGCTGGCGTCCAGCAGGCCCGGGTTTAGGTTCTGTGTGCACCAAGCACTCACCAGGGTCCCTGCTGCTTCCCCTCCCCCACTCTGCTGACATTTTAGAGAAGCTGTGAAGTAGTTTGAAGTTTGTTCTGGGCAGGCCCCCAGGGCAGAAAACAGGAAGCCAAGATTAAAGGCAGGTTTCCTGCAGAGCAGGTGCTCAGGCCTAGCTGGCTTCTCTTGCTGATGGCACCTGGCACCCTCAGCTCTGGGAGCTATTAGCTGTCCTATAATGCTGGCATCACCATCCCTAGACCTTAGGAAAATGAGCTTCTTCCAGAAAGAGGTTGAGCAAGAAGCCTGATGGGGGCACAGGCAGGAAATGGGCCACCTGGGAGGTGGTGGGACTGAGCAGAAAGAGCACGCATGGGCTTTGGGGCCACTCAAGCCTTGTATGAATTCCACTTCCCTGATGTGGGGTCCTACTGAGCTGTGGGGTGGGCTGAGGGGTGAGAAGGGTGGAAAGGGAGCCTTATTGGAAGGTGGTCAAAGTGGCCGGGCCAGTGCTTGGGCACAGAATTTCTAGGGAAAGACAGGAACTGGAAGTAAGTAAAGCTTCAATGTCCACAGGTGCCAAAGGCTCCGGGAACCAGGGGGCCAGGACAGCCTCCCCTGTGACCTCCTCTCCTTCCTGACACACAGGATGGCAGGCTTCCTGGGACTCCCAAATCAGGGGGCTGAGCCTCTCTCCTGCAGAGCCCAAGCCTCCCCACCCTCACCCTCCAAAGCTGTTCTCGGAGGAAGCACCTGCTTGGATCCAGGGCTTTCCACACTGAAACCCTGCGTGACTTTCTCATGAGGGTGAGGCATCGGCTGGGAGACCCAGGCTCTGGGGACCTGGCCTTTGACATTGGGTCAATACTTTTGCTCTAGCCACCAGTCCCCCCACCTGCCAAAGGGTTAGATTAGGTGATCTGCAGGTCTGACTTCTCCTGCACAAGTGGAGGGCTCTAGGGATAGTGGAGAGGGCTGGCAACTACTTCCAACTTCTGTCCCCTTAAGACAGGGAGCTGCCATTTACT